GTGTTTTTTTTTTTTTTTGATAAAGCCCCAAGATATTCTAATCTTAAGCACATTGCTGTTCTGTAGTTTTAACTATCTCATGCTGTTGTTTCCCAGTCATAAAATTGGAACAAATGAGAAGCAAGGAAGCCTTCGATGTTTAGATGAGAAACGTTAGTTGTGGTCAAACACCCAAGGGGGAGGCCTGAGGAAGTTACTGGATTATAAGGACCTACATCATTCCAGCTATTGTTGAAGCATCCCAGAATCACTGGGTAGAAGAAATATCAACCAACAAATGACCTTGAGAGTACAACAATATCAGGTGACACATTCTATAAGGTTTGTCTCATTGGTCTCTTGGGGTGAAGTGAAATATACATAAAAACCAAGCTGGAGAGTTGACTTGCTGCTTGTGTGGCCTGCAGAGAACTCTTAGGAAACAGGCCAAAGACAAATAAATCTAATATCTAACTTGACATTTTGCTACAAAACCGTATCCAAAATGAAGTGACTGAATGATTAGGTGTAGCCTTGCGTCACCTCACGAGAGTGCAGAACTAGATAAACTCTTGTAATTTATTGGCCTCTTCCTTAAGTGAATATTTCTAAAATGGCACAATTAAAAGCTGTACAAATGATTTAGTAAAAATAGACTTTAAAAAGTTCATTTGCCTCAACGTTTAAGAAATGAATAATCTTTTCATGAGTCATTGCTGCTGTGAGGCGGGTATTGTGATTACCAGGAGAGTATCTAGCAGGCTTTGGTTGGGAGGAAATGTCCTCTGCAAGACCCCTCTGTACAGTGAGTGGCTCAGGAGGCTGAGGCAGGAGGATCGTGAGTTCAAAGCCAGCCTCAGCAACTTAGCCAGGCACCTCTCTCTAAACAAAATACAAAAAAAAAAAAAAAAAGGATGTGGTTCAGTGGTCAAGGGTCCCTGAGTTCAGTCCCTGGTAACAAGGGAGACAAAAAAGACCCCTCTGTAATGATGGAGCAGGACCGGCCTGGGAAAAGCAAAGCAACCTTGCACCCTGTCTCCCAGTGATGGTAAGGGGTGGGCTCTGCTGGGAGACAACAGGGAGGGGCAGCCCAGAGGCTCTCAGTCTCTAAATGCAACAGAACAATGTCACAGAACTCAGTGTTCATTTGGAAATGGATTCAAGTCTGTTGTCAATTGAGCCAGAATCTATTTCAGTCTCTGATTATTGTTCGCTATGAAATGAAGGGTAATATTTGGCAGGGCTTATATGTATTTGTACATGCATGGTCCAGGGTGTCTGTTGGATGCTTCTCTGAGTGAGGCTCACTATGATGAATCCTCTCCCACCTCATTCCTCGTGGCCACCTCCCATCCTTTCTCCATTTTTTTTTGACCTACATCCCTTTAGTGGAGAAGAGCATTCATCCTGCAACCAGATGAACTGGGAAAATTGCCTACATACAGGGCCTCACTCTTTTGTTTGTAAAAGTCAGAAAATGGATAGACTCAAGAGTTTTGTAATGAATAAAGGGAACAAATACAATGCTGAGGACCCTGCCTGGTAGCATTGACACCATTCCTGTAGCGGCATGGTCTTCTATGTCTTCAATTGAAAGACATACTATAGTAAGAAACTTGAAGAGTTTTCAAACGAAATAGTTGAAAAAGACATTCTACTCATTAGTGGCCTATTTTCAAAGGCTTCTATAGGTCCAATTTTCTTAAAAAAAAAAAAAAACTACAGAAATCATCAAGCTTTCGCATATGCTACATGTATCATTTTGTACTTCCATGATACACAAAGTCTGAAGAAATCATCATTCATGAGGACTAGACTCTGGGCTTTGAAAGAGGTTCCTTTCCTATGACTTGAAATTTCTGAACTGCTTTTAAGTTTTATGTTCAGTAAAATATTAAGTTGAGGATCCCTTCTACAGAGGTGCTGGCTTTTATTAAAAATCTTTTTCATTTTTCTTTTTTTTTTTTGGTATAGATTCTATCTTGTTCCATGTTTCAAATTACTATACACAAGTAGTAAAACTTTTCATAACAAAGGTTTAATTAGAACGGTTAATAACTATGATTTCCAAAGTGTCTGAGTCAGCCTTAGTAATAATTAGGGAGTTTTGTTCCATACAAAATGCTTTATTTAACCTTCATGCCTTCATTCAGATAATTATACAAATGCATACAGTTAAAGGTTTAAACTCTATTTCGGTTCACAGCTCAATTCATAGGAAAGTTGAATACAGAAAAGCAATGCACCAACAGAATATGTCTGAGACACCATTAAAAACGATAACACTTGTTCATTTAAATCTCTGAGAATAGACTGGAATAATCGTCCTCTGAGAGAATCTCATTAGGAGGGTCTCCCTTTACATTATCATAGGGCCAAAAAAAAAAAAAATCACAATTTTACAGTAAAAGGAAAAAAGCTCTGAGTATATTTACAATACATACACTATACATAAATACAAGAACAACACTTACATAATATTAATAAACTTATAACAGGGGTTGCCTAAACACTACAGAGTATATAAATGCAGAGGAAAACTATTAGGAAATTAGATCTTTAAGCTGGAGAAATAAATTCATTTGCAATTAAAACTCTGAACAGAAAACCAAACAAAGATTTAAGAACTCAACACACTTGTTTGCCAGCATCATTGGGGGGGGGGAGATTAGTCTTTAATTGTGTGTTCTCCTCTGGGCACTCTAGCTCTCCCGGGTCAGAGACCCAGGAATATTTGTAGAATTACATCCATCAAGTGAATCAGACGCAGCCCATCAATTCAATTTGCTGTTCAGAGGCTTCAAGCCTAGAATAACTGTTTTGTAAACTAAAGGATGTTTTTGTATTTTTACACAGAAAGATCTTGTGATTTAATCACCATGTATAATGAGCTAAGTGTCAAGGAAAAGAAAAGAAATGCCTGCTTGATTTGGCCAAAGATGATGTTGTCTTTATTCCTGTGTATTTTTTTCAAATATGACTTGAGAGATTTATTCAAGAGAATATGACATTGGAATTGACCCCCACACACCAAGAGCAACGTCTAGACTACTACTAATTATAACTAAGTCATTTTAAGTGGCAGGTGGGTATCTTAAAGGTGGTCTGTTCTCATCGTTTCACAAACACAGAAAGTTCTGAGTACATTCTTCTATGGACAAACATGAATTTGCTGGTTTCTCTTTTTTAAAAAAATGATCATGATACACATAATTGCATTATGATGCAGGATGACATAATACATAAGACGATGTTTTCAAGCTGGTTTTGTTAAGTGGTTATCGCACATCCACAGAGTTGGTTTGCCATGTGATGCAATGTGTCCCACATAGACATGAACAAAACAATACAGCCACTGTCCCGTGGGGGAGACGGTGATTTTTAAAAAAATGAATCCTTAAACACAACAAATTGTGGACAGACAAGTTGATAGGAAAGAGCCTTGCAAATAGGCACCAGTGCCCCAGTTCAACAATACCCATCCGATGTGATAAAGTTTGAGGAACAAAACATATCCTATGGTTGGATGTAATCACAAAATTCTGCCATAGAAAACTAGAAACCCAAGTAGGGTCAAATGATTGTATCTTCGGAGCAAGAAATAAGCAGAAAGGGAAGATGTCAGTAGATCTCTAAAATATCTTACTTTTTGATTGTTTGGACACTTTTGTTACTAGATTTTGGCCCAAATGCTATCCTTCTATTCACCTCATGCTTGACAAAAATGAATCTCTGCGAAAGTCTTGGTTAACCTTCTTTGGGGAAAGTGAGAGAATAATTCAGATCAGAAGGTACTGGTCCTTGCTTTACGCCAAGAGCAGACTCCGATGTCTGAAATGCTGCAAATTTCTAGAGATGAAATCCAAAAAAGAAAAAGTATTGATGTGACTGTTTCTACCTTTCATCTCTTTCAACTCACTTAAAGTGGTTGTTTTGTCATTGGGAAATTATTGCTGGTGAAACCCAATTAACTGAGAAGAGGCCCCATCTGCAATAGGTTGTGTGCACAGAACACTTGCTTTCAGAATTTGTTAATGCAGGTTTTATCTCTTCCCCCAGCCAACTAACAGGGAGAAAGATCATAATTCAGGAGATTCATTTTCAGAAACAGAAACACTATGAGAAATGACATTCTCTTAATGTTTTTGAAGTCCATTAGTATTTCCATGAATCAATACTGTCAGAGACCTTGCTTTATACAGAGGGTAGGGATTTTATTTCTCTGATGTTGGACAGCTTCTCACATAAAACTCAATTAAGCTAACAACAATACTATAAACAAATTATTTATAAGACTATTTAAAACATTCCAAGGCAGTGCCGTTAAGAGAGAAAACTGAAAAGGAATCAACCATTGATCATCATCTCAATGTTTGTGATTGCCACCCCATTAACACCTGCAAGAGCAGGCTCTGGTATTAACTAGCTCCATGGAGGTGAGCGTCTCCAACCCACCGTAAGCAGACTCTAGCAGGCATTTGCTATAGATACAAAGAAATGTGTAGAACTGGGAAAAACCATCTTGGGCTAAAATGTTACTAAGTAAGGAGGGGTTTTAATAATTCTGGAGCTCCAGGCCAAACATTTGGGAATAAAGTGACAAGTCAGAGAGACATCTGGTGGCTGCTATTTGTTTATAATGATCCTTCATAAATTTCCAGGAGAGGGCTGATTTCAAACACTCTGCACCATCGTCAAATCATGAATCATCATATCCTGATATTTTACTTGCAAAATGATAAATACTTGTGCAGAGTATCTATAATAAAACTTAATTGGGAGTATGAAAAGGTGGTTGCTGGAAACATGTGCAGTGAGGTACAGTGGAAAGGATACGGGTTTCAGAGCCAGAGAGAGGTGGCTTCACATCTCCACTCTGCCATTTACATTTTGTGTGTGTGTGTGTGTGTGTGTGTTTATACACAGGTGTCTCAGCAACCCACTTGTGCCTCAGTTTCCCATTCATAATATGTGAATTCATCATACAGATTAGAGGTAATGTGTCTAAAAATCGCCTAGCACAGTGCTTGGCATGTAGTGTTTAAGAAAGAATAGTTATTCTTGCCATGGTTTGCTGAATTTTTGCACTTTGAAGATATTTTAGTACTTGCCGACACCATGTGGAATGAAGCCCAATCAGAAGATGTCAGTGGGACTAAGGAACTCAGCAGCCTTTCTTTGAAACTTAATTGGTTATTTCATCCTCTATCCTGGTGCATTTCCTTCTTCCTTTCCTCCTGTCTAAAACTTGGAGGAAAAAACAGCCGATGGTTTTGTAGGCCTGTGGTCTGGGCCTGGAGATTGCTGTCCATCGCGGTTGTCTACACTGCCTGAGGGTTTAATCACTCATACTTTTAAAATTACTTTTAGTAAATGTTTGGCTCTGAAAGAGTATAATTTTGCTGATAGCCTCAACAGCTTGTTTGGGTGAATTTGTGCTCTGGGATGGCAAGGTTGGAGAATTTCCAGGGTTCGCTGTACATTGATATCCACGACTCCACTTTTAGCAGTAAAATAATTTTAGGAAAAACTAGTGAACTTCTGGATGTGGATCAAGCAATTTTCAGGACTAACTGCAAAATTGGTTAAAGGCGAGGCTTACCAAGTATCAACAGTACTTCAGTAGACTTTTGGGGGACAAATGATTTTGTCAGTATTCATCCCCAAATGGTTCTTAAATGAAAACAGGAAATATTAGGAAAAGGGAGTGAATAAGTATAAAGATAGATTTGTGCATTTGATATGAGTGGATAAATTAAGCAGACAAATATCCCTCAGTGTTTTGCTTTAAATACATTGGTATTTTTAACTGAGCAAAAATTTTTGAGCCATACATACTGTTTCTTAAGTTTGGGGAAAATCACAATCAAGTTTTTAATCTGAAAAGTATAATTTTTCATCTGAAAAATATAATTGCCATATGCCATAGTGTACATTGATGATAACCTGATGCTCATAATTGCATTTGTACATCCTTCAAGTAAGGAAACTCAGATTGAGAAATGTTAACTGCAAAGAAGATTAAGGTATACTTAAAAGACACAAAAGTTCTCCCCTCATGGGTATGTGAACAGATTCAATATATTACATGCATACATTTACTCTATGTGTATGTTTTCAAAATGTGCAGGAAAAAACCCAGTCTGATGAAGAATTATTGCTGTGTAAAAGTATAGGAATATCTCATTGGTCATGATTATTGACAGGCACTTTCAGCATTTAGTTCATTTCTAAAAATGGGCATTAGCTTATTTCTAATGCCAGTATAGATTCGTTGAGCATGTAGCCATTTCCACAGCACTTAATCTTGTCAACATGAGCTACACTGAAAAGCAATCCCTCTCGAATTCAATAAGAATAAATACTTGTATGGTTTTCTTGATCAAGAACCAGTTTGTTGAGGAGGAAGATAACTGAGAAGACAGAACAATCACCAGATGCTCCTCTTTAGCACAAGTAAAATTTTGTGTAGCTGTTTCCCTTTTTCAGGAAAAGACATTGTGAGTTTGGAATCGGTGTGTCTGTAGGAACTTAAAATGACTTCAGTGGATTTTAAACCATCCTGGCTAAACCATGACAAGTGGCCACGCCACTATTACAGAGCACAAGGAACATGCTCTGACAAAGTGAGACAGGATTCCCATGGCAATATCGCTAACTGTGTGTAAGATACACAAGGCATATCTGGACAAGGTTTTTTTTTTTTTTTTTTTTTTTTGCTTTTTTGTTTTTTTATTGTGATGAAAACTAGAAGCTCTTTCCCCCGACATACTTCATCAAACTATTTACAACCTCTGTAAAATTTGCATGTTTGAAAATACTTTTTTTTCCACTATCGCATATGTTACGTATACAGTAAAATATCTTCACTCTATTTTTAAAGATGCAGTATCCTTCTATTTCATCTTCTTATGAAAATCTGAATTTCTATTGCAATTGCTCAATATTCAGCATATTTAAAATACCAATGGACATGGGTTGCTAAACAGACATTACTCTATAATGAAACTGTGAAAATATAGCATTTATAATTTTTATGTACATTTTCTTAACTATAAAATGCAGGCAAAGTCATATATAGTATTATAAGCTGATTCCCTAATAAGGTAAATAACTTACATTTCTAGATAGTATGGATTATTACAAATTTTGTTTCTTTTAAAAAAGTTCTTTGTTGATATTTATTAGCTCACTGGCAGCTGCATATACAGGTACGTATACACATGTGCAGGTGTTAGGGAGTCTGTCCAGGTAAGTGGAAGGCAGTGTGGGGACAAGTAGAAGTATGGGAGATGTGGCTTACCAAATTACTTTCCTAAAGGAAACTGACTCAAATTGGAAAGACCATTTCATGGAATGCACTACCTCAGAAAAACTAAAGGAAGAGATTTGGTCAATGATGTTTTCACAGAATACATTTACTCCCCAAAATTGACAGGCATTGGTAAAGAGCAAATTTGAAGAGTGGATAATGAATTATGAAAATTAAGGCTTCCTGGGCCTATTATGCTTCCTCAGAGTCACCTCATATTCAATCCCTTTGATGCAGACCATAACATGGATGCTGGCATTGATACTGCTTGAATTCTGTGCATCTTCATTATCCATGTTAAGACAGCTTCATTACAACACCACTGCTACATTTCTAAGCAGTCACAACAGCATAACAAAGGCATATTAATACAATTGAAGGCCTCACCTCACCAGATTTATTCAATTGCAGCTTTGGTAAGTATAATAAATAAAGTACAGAATAAGGAATACTGCATCTTTATCCATATACATGTTATTCTAGTGAACTGATTTCAAAGTGCAGAATTATATTTATGTTTAAAACACAAATGGCGATTTGAAATTAAAACAAGTCATATCAAAATGAACACAATCTTTGCATAAGCTATTCCAAATTTCATCCATGATGGAAACAGCCCTTCTAATCAACTAGAGCTGGCATTTGTAAACACTGCAGCATTTTTTAAGTTTTTTTCCCCGACAATTCATCTTCCTATTTCCCACTTAAACTTTAAAGTGAATAAAAAGTGCTTTTTTTAAAAAAAGGTGGTTTATATTATTGGTATTTACTTGTCTTTGAAAACAAATAAACAAAAAATCCTATGTGTTTTGTAAAGACAGGAGTATAATCTTTATGGTAAAGCCATTAGGAATCTCCATCTAGATGCCTTAATAGAACTTAAGACAAGTTATCAACACAGTCCACATAAAATGGACAGAGGAGATTGGAGGTGGATGGGGAAGCGTGAATCTCTCTCCAAACAAGATCAGACTAAAAAGGACTCTACTAAAACATCCTAACTTTTCAAATCCCCTAACTCCCTTGTAATCAATCTCTAAAATGCAAAAAAAGAATGTCAGGTCTCCTGCAGCTTCTTAAAAATTACAGCTGTGTGTATCAAAGTTCCCAACCATGCACATATCCCTAGCTGCAAATCCAACAGCTTCAAATTTAAAACCAAAGAATGTTTCTACTTAGGGAACAGCTGCTAAGTCCTTTGGGATTCAGTCCCTTTTCTATAGTTCATCATGCACTGTGCTTTTCAAAAGAGGCTAGAAATGCACATGGGATGGTATGGTGACTTTTCTATGCCTATACAGATTCCATTTCCTTCTATCCCAAACCACTTTCCTTAACATGGGGAAACATCCTTGGGAAACTCACCAAGGTGAATTTTTTATATTCCAAAACAAGCCCCCAATATGCTTCAGTTCCTGGGGTAGATCAGGAACTCATTCACTCACTTGTCCTTGGCTCCCTTCTTAGAAGTACTGCTCTGTCGAGAGGGGGAGATGGTGTGATGCTGACAGGTTTTTATCAGTTAACTCGCCATTTCATTCTGATTTCCACTACCAGAGGGTAAGGAGAAAAGCTCACTTCCCTACATCTTTCCTATGTTGTAAGAGAGCTCTTTGCTAAATGTAATTCAAGCTGTCATTTAGGAAGCTTCCACTGTCAGTTCAATGAATTCTAAAAACCATGCCTACCTACAGTACTCTCAAGACTTTGCTTGCTGGGAGCAGGGGGAGAGGGTGCTGGTGGAGAGAGGACACAGACTGGACTGGCTCTTCTTTTGAGAGTAGGCAGAACTAACTCAAATCTACACTTCCCTTGAGTGATCCCCTGACCTGCCAGCTAGGTTCTGGGTTCATGGCTGTTTTAGCCCCTCTCTGTTCTTTGCCACGGACCAGTGCTGGCATGCATCAAGAAACCTTTTTCTATTCTGAATGGTCACAGGCAATGAGAAGTGAGTTGCATACAGTACAGATAAAAAATGTTCCAGTTGGTAGAAAACCCACTGGTTGGTGGGTAGCAGATTGTGTAGCTAAAGAAGCTATTTATCAATAGAACTGCAGCCCTTGTTGGAGGGAAATTGCCCGATGTGTTTTTCAGGCCTGGCAGAAAACAGAGAACACATATTTTTGAAGTCAGAATTTGACCTGAAACTCTTTACACTGTTGCTTCAATCATTTGTTAAAATTCTTTTAATACCATCTAACACAAATTGTCCTTGTTGAAATGTTCATAGTTCTTGCTTCATCAGAATAAGATTATCTGAATTAGAAGATGATCCTAAAAAGAATAATTTTGTCACCGGCAACTATTTCAGAATGTTCAAACATTTAAAAATGAGCTAGAAATATTGTGAGGTTAATTTGTGCAATTCCCCAAATCAAGTGTCTGTAATTAAAATATATTGCAAAGGTCTGTGCTGGAGACCTTTTATATCTAAGCTATAAAAAGTCCTAATGACAATACCAACAACATCAACAACAACAAAAAAATCTCAACAAGCCCCTTAGCCACATAAAGCTGGGTAGGAAAATGTCTTTTAGTGGGGACAAAAATATGCTAATTTTTCTGAAAGACTGCTTGTTGATGATGTATTGCTTTGTTTCCTGTATGCTTTGCTAGTTGCAAAAGGTTCACAATTTTAGGGGGTTGGCGGGATTCTACTTTCCTCTCATCCTCGTGACAGGATGAGTAGGTTCAATATCCCTGCAGATGCCAATGCAGGACCAGTGGGTCCTGGTACAGTTTAGAAAATGAAATGTACAGAAGAACCTATTGGAGAGACTTATCCGTGGCTCTCCAACAGAGGAAACTTAGCACCATGGCAGGCCTTGGGCGGGACCATTCCCTTTCCACCGACTCAATTCCAAGAACTGACCCATTAACTGAGGAGCTAATTCCTGGCTGTGCCTCTGTTGCCTTTCTAGTCACCAAATAACTGTTTTCAAACAAGAAAGGGGGGAGCATAATCTTTAATTGTGATACTCAACCGAGCAGGACAAACAGCAGCAGAAAGATTACCTCAGTGCCGTAAATGTAACCAAGACACCTAAAATGCTGGGGTGTTTTTTACAATCCCTTTAGTAAGTATGAAAACTGGTAACGTGAGTCCTCAGTGAAGTTATTGTGGGAAAGTCCTTTTTATTCATTATTGCTTTTCTCCTCAAGGGGTGCATTATTTCCATCTCTGCTTTGTCTGATTTTTCATGTTCACTGACTTTGCCTGGGCAGCCCCACCTCTTACGTTGGTGCCAGTGTGTCTAAGAAAGTTTTTTCCCCTGATTCCTTGTAATCAAACACTGGGGGCAGGAAGAGATGATGCCTAGGTGACAGAACACTGCGATTTGAAGTGGGGCAGTAGGTTTTTTTAGACAGGCTCTTCCTATTCAACTACAGAACACCTTGGTGCCAGTCCGTGCCAGGGCAGAGACCAGGACTAGACTTCAACTGAAATGTCGCTGCCCCTCTGCTCAAACAGATGAACAAAACAGAATCGAACGAAACAGAAACAATCAACGACAAACAAATGAGAGATTCAATGTTGGTTTTCTTCAGGGCATGGCATGATGACAAGTTGCGAGGGACATCTAGTTGCTGCCATCGCTATTGCAAGGGCCTGCTTGAATCCAGGGCCTTTATTTTCAGGTAATGGAACCTCTCCAACAATTTCTTCCTTCCCACTTTCATGCTGCTTGCTGGTAACAGACTGGATGTGGGTTCTAGCTTACTTAGCTAAGAACTAATCTTTTTTTTTTTTTTGTAAAAGGGGGTTAAAGGTGGGGTGGGGGGTAGTGGGGGGGGCATGATGAGAGAATCATCCAAATTGAAAAAATCATCCAAATCCAAATTGCTCTAGCCATCAATTTGTGGTAGATGACCTTTACGATCTCAATAACAAAACTGTCTGACAGCTCAGAAAATGTACAAGCTACAAACATCTGTAAATGGCAGAGGACACAGCACGGAAAACAATCAATGCCTGTCTCTTCAGCATTTTTGTGGCTGAACTCCCATGTCAGGGTGAAGCCGTCTCTCGCGTAGTCAAGGTGGGGGTTACCTTCAGACCGAAAGAAGTGTTCCTTCTTGTTCCTGCTCTGATTTCAGACATCGTGGGATGGTGATGCCCTTTTGAGTTAACACTGTGAAGGGAATTCAGCCCTGCTGAATTGGGTGCCGCTAAGAGATCCAGCTCTTCCGCCCAGCTGGACAGCGAGCGGTCCTCACACCAGCATGTGCCTCCGGCGGTGCAGGGCCAAGTGGTCTGACCGGGAGAAGCTGCGATCACAGTCCGCGCACTTGAAGGGCTTCACTCCCGTGTGTTTGCGGTAATGCCGCGTCAGTTCGTCGGAGCGCGCAAACTTCCAGGTGCAGCCTTCCCAGGTACACTTGTAGGGTTTCTCTCCTGGAGGAAACAAAGGCACACAAGCTTTGGTGCTCCGCCACTTTTCTATAACAATCAAGCCAGCGCTGGGTGTTGGGGGGACTGTGGTTCTCAGTGGGGGTTTCCATTTGGGAAATCTGTCAAGACACCTTCCCATCCACACAGGGGTCTTGTCTTTCCTGCTGCGACATCAGGCAAGTGAGTTAACACCTGCATCCACAATTATGAGGAGTGACCTTGTGCTCCAAATATCAAGAAGCACATACTGACAGTCACTGGCTAAAATCACCACTGGTAGTCTGAGAGCTCTATACCAAGTTTGGTTTGGTTCTAAAACCAAATATCCCAAAGAGTTACACACAGTAGTTAGTTATGCTTAGTTTCAACACTCCCTCTCCCACATATGCACCACTTCAATGGTTTAAGATTATTTTAGGACACAAGGTCCACTTATCAGTGGCTGCAGGTATACACACAATGTTATCAATAGGTAAAGTGCTCCATGCTCTAAGAAATTAGGCATATATTATGCATAAACATCAACATTTTGCTTGTCCATTGGGAGAGAATCCTAGATATCTTAGTAGTACAAAGTGCTGAAACTCCCTGTAAAAAGCAGTCTGAAGAAGTATGTAATTTGACCAGACTCCACAGTCAACTTGTAAGGACAGTAAAATATGCAAAGGCTGTGCTGGGAAAAGATAGACTATCCATTGTCCAAACGGGCTCCCAGGGGGAGCGGGACAATAGTTGACCCAGGTACACTGTTTTCCTGGCTCTCATTCAGAAGGAAGGCCTGTCCCCATGCAACCCCACCAAAAACCGATCTCTCCTTCCATCTAATAGTCTGAAATATGCTTCTTTGCCACACTGGGCCCATGCTGAAAAGATAGGAAGGAGCTATTTGCTGGTCCCTATGAATAAAGCTGCAAAGTGAAACTGCAAACCTCACTTTGTAGATGAGAAGAGTGAGGCTGCACATAGCAAAGAATACTCAAAGTTAGTAAAAAGATGCCTGCAGCTCTGAATCCAATGCTGCAGCCTATGCTACAGAGGAATGGAGAATTCTTACCTTATCTAAACTGTGCTGCATCCTCAGGGTTAGTTCACTTTCTTAGATACTCCCACATTTAATTGTTCCTTTCCTATTTCTATGACATTTCCTACACAATATACCATGAAGCTTATGTTTGGATGCCTTTCTCCTCCACCAGTCACTGAATTCTCAGAGGTCAGAGGTCATGCATGGTATCCCCAGGACCTACAATAGGTTCCAAGCAATAACTTGAATGAACTAATAGAACTGCAAAGTGAAAGTGTGCTCATGTGTGTGTGCACGCACACACACACATAAAATTACTAAGCCCTATAAATGAGATGTATAGGCAACGCCCACATGGGAAAACTAAACTGAACATTTTCCATTCAACTGTTAAATCAATGCTGTTTATAACGGTTCTTTTAGGATCAAGTGGCTCTTTCAGAACAGAGTGAATGAGTAGTTCAGACCTGTTCAATGCAGAATTGCTGGTGCACTAATTGTGGCCCAAAGGAAGCCCCAGGTTACTCTGAAAGGGTTCCTTTCAGGCAAAAGCCTGCTTACTGCAGTGATCCCAAACCTCAATTTCTCGTTCATTCTAGTAGACAAAATCTGTATTTGCATGTGTCTATTGACCAGTGTTTGATAGAAATCAAACAAATTTGGCAAAAACTCTAACTTATAAAGACTGGAGATCTACTATACAATTTACTAATGGCAATGATTAATATACTTTTTCATGTTGAATATTATTTCTCTATGTTTGAAGTTATATCATGAGAATGGGGTCTAGTGTTGAGCTTGCAGTAAACTAACTTCAAAATCACATCTATTGAGACACCGGCTGGAGCTCAGGCTCAGCCCAAATTCACCTTGCTGACCTGTGTGGGAGCCCAGATCCAGTGTAGGCCCAAGTCCATCTCACCACTGGTAGTTACCCAATGGAGCTGAGGCTCAGGCTAGACCTACCTCGCTGACCTGTGCAAAAGACGGGGTCCAGGGTGACCTTGGGTCCACCCCACCACCACCACCTGGGAGCCCAGGTCTAACCCACTTCCATCTTGAGATACTATACCCATCCCCATAGCCTTCCCCATGCAGCAGCCTCTACCTTGGAACAACAGACAGAGCTTACATCTTGGAACAGGCATCCTAAAGTCAGTGTAAGACCCACCTTTTCAGCCCCATCTCTGAAAGATGTTGCATCCATCTTGGGGCACCTCCTCTGCTATTTTAAGTTACCTCCTGCTATTGCCACCACCACCTTTAGTTGCCGTAGCATCCATCCTGGGACACCGTCAGGGTTTGATACACATATATCTGCACAAATACTTACAAGATTATAGAGTGGAATCTGTAACACCTCAGAGCCACACTGCAAGTAAGGAAATCATATAGACAACATGAAAAAACAAGGGAGGAAAGTGCCCCCTAAGACCCAGGATATTACAATAACAGAACCCATGGACAGCACAGTTGACAAAATGTCAGAGAAGAGTTCAAAAGGTTCATAATTAAAATGATCTGTGAATTAAAGAATGACCCAAATAAGGAAATACAGGCAAAAATTGATCACTCCAACAAACAGATAAGAGAGAAAATACAGGCAACCATTGATGATACCAATAAACAGATAAGGGAGCAAATACAAGCATCCTTTGATCACACCAACAAAGAGATAAGGGAGCAAATACAGGTAGCAAAAGATTACTTTAAGAAAGAGATAGATATTATGGAAAGAAAAATATCAGAAATCTTTGAAATGAAGGAAACAATAACCCAAATAAAAAACTCAATAGAAGGCATCACCAACAGACTAGATCTCTTGGAAGACAGAACCTCAGATAATGAAGCAAAGTATACGATTTGGAAACAAAGTATAAAATACGGCAGCCCAACACCAAGGTGACCACAGAGTGAAGATGGTAAGGAACCATGAGCAGAACAACCAAGAATTAGGGGATAGCATCAAAAGACTAAATCTAAGAGTTATTAGGATAGAGGAAGGCATAATCTCTTCAATGAGATAATATCAGAAAATTTCCCAAGCATGAAGAATGAATTGGAAAATCAAATACAAGAGGTTTTATAGAACACCAAATGTACACAATTACAACAGATCTACACCAAGGCACATTATAATGAAAATGCCTAGCGTACAAAGTAAGAGTAGAATCTTAAAGGCCACAAGAGAAAGGAATCAGATCACATATAGGGGGAGACCAATTTGTATTTCAGAAGATTTTTCAACCCGGACCCTCAAAGCCAGGAGATCCTGGTACAACATATACCAAGCTCTGAAAGAAAATGGATGCCAACCAAGAATCATATCTAGCAAAATTAAGCTTTAGATTTGATGATGAAATAAAAACCTTCCATGATAAACAAAAGTTAAAAGAATTTACAACTAGAAAACCTTCACTACAGAACATCCTCAGCAAAATATTCCATGAAGAGGAATTGAAAAACAACAATGAAAATCAGTAAAGGGAGGTAGTACACTAAAGGAAAAACTAATCAAGGGAGAAACCAACTCAAGTTAAATACCAAAAATAAACAAAAATGGCTGGGAATACAAATCATGTCTCAATAATAACCCTAAACGTTAATGGCCTAAACTCACCAATCAAAAGACATAGGCTAGTAGACTGGATTAAAAGAAAAAAAAAGACCCAACAATATGTTGCCTCCAAGACACTCATCTCATAGAAAAAGACATTCACAGACTGAAGGTGAGAGGTTGAGAAAAATCATACCATTCACATGGACTGTGGAAGCAAGCAGGGGTTTCCATCCTCATATCAAATAAAGTGGACTTCAATCTAAATTAATCAAAATGAATAAAGAAGGACACTACATACTGCTCAAGGGAACCATACACCAACAAGACATAACAGTTATATATGTCCCAAACAATGGAACATCTACATTCATCAAACTTTTCTAAAGTTCAAGAGTCAAATAGACCACAATACAAAAATTCTAGGTGGACTTTAACATACCTCTTTCACCACTGGATAGATCTTCCAAACAAAAGCTGAACAAAGAAACTAGAGAACTCAATTATACAATCAATAACTTAGAGTTAACTGATATATATATAGAATATTTCATCCTTCAATGAGCGAACACATTTTCTTCTCAGCAGCACATGGATCATTCTCTAAATTAGACCATAAATTATGCCACAAAACAAGTCTTAGCAAATATAAAAAAGTAGAGATATTACTCTGCATTCTATCCGATCATAATGTAATGAAATTAGAAATCAATGATATAATAAAAAATAAAAGGTACTCCAATACCTGGAGACTAAATAATATGCTACTGAATGAACAATGGGTTATAAAAGTCATCAAGGAGGAGATTAAAAAATTTTTAGAGGTGAATGAGAACACAGATGCAATGTATCAAAATCTCTGGGATACTCTTAAGGCAGTTCTAAGAGGAAAGTTCATTGCATGGAGTTCATTCCTTAATAGAAGAAAAAGTCAACAAATAAGTGACTTAACATTACATCTCAAAGCCCTAGGAAAAGAACAAATCAACACAAAAAGCAGTAGAAGACAGGAAATAATTGAAATCATACCTGAAATCAATGAAATTGAAACAAAAGAAACAACTGAAAAAATTGATAAAACAAAAAGTTGGTTCATTGAAAAAAAACTAATATTCACAGATCCTTAGCCATGCTAACGAAAAAAAAAAGGAGAGAGAAAACTCAAATTACTAACGTACGTGATGAAAAAGAAAATATCACAACAGACACTACAGAAATCCAGAAGATAATCAGAAATTATTTTGAAAACTTGTATTCCAATAAAACAGAAAACATCAAAGGCATCAACAAATTTCTAGAGTTACATGATTTGCACAAACTGATCAGGATGATATACACAATTTAAAGTATCAATTTCAAGTGATGAAATAGAGGAAGCCATCAGAAGCCTAGCAACCAAGAAAAGCCCAGGACCGGAGGGAT